ATTTACTGTAGGTCAAGGACTGTAACTTTCAATAAGGATTGAAGTTCAACATCAAGAAAACAAAAGATTCTCACCACCGGGCCAAATGGTAGCACCTTGATGGATGGAGGAGAGATTGAAGTTGTTAACAGTTACAGATTGCTCAGCTCCACAATCAACACTCTTGGCCCCAGCAACCAGGAAATCAAAAGATGAATTGCACTGGGAAAATCTGTCAGGGATCTCTCCAGAGTACTGAGGAGCAAGTATGCCAGTCTAAAGACTAAGGTGTACCTTATTCAAGCAATGGTCGCTGTAATTACTTGCTAGGTATTGGAAAGCTGGACAATGACAAAGGATGATAAAATTGACATTGTTGAGTTGTGGTACTGGAGAAAATTACTGAATATGACATGGACTGTTAGAAGAACAAACAAGTTCATCCTGGAGAGGGTGAAGCCAGCCTGGTCCTTGGAGGCAAGGATTTTGAAGATTCGTCTGACATACTTTGGGCATGTTGCAAGGAGAGACCCGTCCTTGGAGGATATCATGCTTGGAAGGGTGGAGGGACAGTGCAGGAGGTGAAGACCCTGGATGAGATGGATTGACTCAGTGACTGGAATTATGGGGTTAGGTGTGTCAGAGACAATGAAGTTGGATCAAGATAGGGCAGGGATCAGAGCAAGTGATTTGATGGCACATAAAAACAAGTTACAAAGTGCTAAGGGCAAAGATGTTAGTATACAGGCTAATGTGTGCGTGATCCAGGACATGGTCTTCTGAATTACTTCCTTTGCATGTGAAAGTTGGACAATGAATATGGATGGCAGACGAATTGTTCCATGCCTTTCAATGGTAGTTTTGGAGAAGAGTACTACACATCCCACAGACTACCAGAAGAACAAATAAGTCTATGTTGAAGGACATGCAACCACATTGCTCTTTAGATGCAAGAATGGTGAAACTCTGGGCATGTTGTCAGAAGAGGTTTGTCCTTGAAAAAAGATTATGCTTGGAAAAGTAGAGGATCAAAGAAAGGAAAACTCTCAGTGAGATGGATCGACACACTGATTCTACTGATGCGTTCAAGCATATCCAAGATCATAAGCATGGCGCAGGGTAGGGTAGGGCTCAACTCTGTTGTTTATAGGATCGTTAATGAGTCATAGTTGACTTTGATGACACCTAACTATGATGACAACAGCAGCTAATATAACTATTTTTATCCTTTTTTTAAAAGGATATAAAATAGTATTTACAAACAATGCATTTGTTTTTGATATGCAGTCCAGTCTTTTTCATGTCTGATTCTTTACACATAAGGAAGGCAAAAAGCCAACAGTGGGTACAATTTGCATTTATCACCCTAAAATCATTACACTTTTTTTTCCCCTATAAAATAAGTTACTCCAAATTAATCAATTGCCTAGCAAATAAATGAGAGCAATATTTTAAAAAACACTTATTCTTTCAAAACATAACCAATACGTCAGGTAGTCCTGGAGACAAAATTGTAGAGAGAAAGAAATTTGCAAAATTTCCTTTTGAGTTCTCCGGCTGTGGTTCTGGTGGCTCAACACCTCCAGGGCATGCTTCAACATGGCAAAAATTTGGCAAGGACTTAGAATCTCCTCAAAACACTTAAAGGTGTGTTTTAACTAACAACAAAGTTGACAGTCATTCCAGTCAGCCTCAAGATAACACACTGATTTTAATAATAATAATGAAGGCAAAAATCTAGAAAAACATTTCCATTTCCCTGGCTTTCTCCACTCACCCATTGCCATTGAGTTGGCTCAGCATGGAGAATCCACCAGCTGCTCCATGGGAGAGAGACGGTCAACTTACCACCTCTGGAAACCCACTGGAGATTCGTTTAAGATTCATTTCCTACTTGATGGTACATAAGAAGAACCACCTGAGGAGGTTGTTCTTCCATCTCAGTTCTCAAGAGGTAATTTACAAGCAATATTTAAAAACATCCACCTTCAATACAAGGCCAGATAATCCCCTAAAAGGAAGAACAGGTTTAATAAAAAAAAATTGGGACCAAAAGATAAGGAGTTATGCTGCCAATGCAAAAGTAAGTGGTCTGAATCCACCAGTTGCCCCATGGGAGAATGATGGTCAAACTCCTCCAATTTACAGCCTCTGAAAACCCACTGGAGGGTTGGCTGTGCATCAGTTCTGACTTAATGGCACTTTAACAACATAATGAGCCCTAAGGATTAGTAAGTAAAACAAGTAAACCTTGTATACTTTGTTTACTGGTACTGTCCTTCCAGGCACTGTAAATCTGAAGAGCCTCTAATTGTGTAGGAAGGTTCTATGGAGTTAGGAAGAGTTGGCTGTTAGCTAGACAGACCTAGAAGCGGAATCTTTGTGGTGGTGGGGAAAAACATGAAATCATTCAATACAAATTAGTAAGTAAGCACAAATAAGCCTATGCTTACCCTGGTTACAGAGTAATTCAACACTGCTTTGACTCACTGCCTAGAAAAGCACCAGCTGTTTTTAACATTTAGTTCTAAACATTTTTCATATTCTTAAAATGACCTCCATACCAGTTGATTAATTCAGCATGTTTTAATTCACATTAAAGAATCCAATTGAGGGATCAAATTTTATTTTTTAATTCATTTGAGAAAATTTTAATAGCAATCTCTCAAAAAATATACAATACTTTTATCTGTATTTTCACCAGGATTTCATATGTACTCTCGTGGCCAAGCATGTAGGGAGCTGCACTGCCAGCCCAAAGGTGGGTCGTTTGAATCCAGTAGCTACTCTGTGGAAGAAAGATGAGCAACCTCCTATATGATTTATAGCCTCTGATAATCTACTGGAGAGTCAGCTATGAGTGGATTCCAAATTGATAGGAATGAGAATGTTTTTCTTAGTACAAATCCTTTTATCACTATGCTCTACCAGTAAAGTTCTGTTGGTTAACTAAAAAAAAAAAGTCTTTACTCATCAGTTCTAAGTTACTCAGAATGATGAAAACTGCTAATTTACAAACGTCAAAGGTCTTAGAAATTACGGCAGTTCTTCATCTACTAAAAACATCCCAAATGAAGCTCACAGAAGCGGTCTACAGAACACTCTTAAAAAATTGCCTATTTGGTAAACTATATGGCAATTGTTGAACAAATTAGTCCAATTTCTGTGCACTACTAATCTTGAAAACTTTATAGACTAAGAAACTGTTCTATTTCTCATTATTTCTTAGATTACTAAAGAGAAAGGTTTTAGCATTGCTGCAACATTGAGTATCCTGTAGTTGAAAGATAATTTCCAAATTAATTTAACCTTGTGTTTCTTGGAGGAAGTTCAGAGAAAACAGAAGGTCTTCATACTCAGAGGTCTTGAATTAAGAAGGCTATACAATTCCTGGAAAGTCCACTTACAGAAAATAAAATAAACAATAGACAACCTGAGCTAAGATCTCTTAAGAGAAGGCATCTCAGAACAGGAAACAGAAGAACCTTAAAATAGCCAATTTGGGCTTGAATTTTAAGCATGAATTTTCATACCAACTATTCTTGAATCAAAATTCAAGTTGTCTTATTTTCTATGCCTTTTCTAACATAAGGTACACTTGGTGTGGCATGGCAGTGAATCTAAGTACCTAAAACTAAATAGACTGGAACAAAAGACAGCCAAGATTAGTTACGTCAAGCTAATCAATTAATAGTTTTGTCTTAATTGCAAGAATCAATCTGCACATATTTCATGTCTCACTCAACGACTGACAAAGATGGCATTTGACAAATGCGTATCTACTTTATTTCTCTAGTCTTGAATTGACTTCATAGTACTGATTTGAAATATTGTATATAATGCCAAATTGTTCAATTTTTAAAGGGGAGTCACCTTAAAAAAAAATTCAACAAAACCAAAATCAGTTGAAGGTTTGACTTGGTTTTTTACAAAGATCAGTAAATCTGGAAAAAAAGGAAAAAAGGGAAGAACAAAAACAATGATAAAGAAGAAAAAAAAATCCAACCATGGTATCTAACCTCAGACAATTATGTCAAACATTCAGTTACTGAATACTTGCTAGTTATCTCTGAAAAGTAATAATCATAAGATAGTAAGATAAAAACAATCTTAAGTCAAACTATTTAATAAAAGGAATATCTTTAAACATAAAATGTGATTAAACTCCCACCTCCACTTCTGAAAGAAAAGGTAAAAAATAAGACAAAACAGCTCAGCGTAATTTCAAACGTTAATATATTTTCTATTTTATATTGAACATATGCATCTGTAACCCCTCATTTGCAGCAACTATCACATCCTCATAAAAGGGGCAAAATTTGTAAGATGCCTTTTAAAATAAATATTCTTTTTTATAAAATAATAAAACTTCAAATAAATATTCTTTACACTAAACAATATGTTGAAAAAATTAGAAAATAAAGGTTGAATTTTACTGTAACTGTACAATTTACATGAAGTCCAAAGGGAAATCAGAGTCACAATAAAGGCTTTCCGTAAGGCAAAATACAATCTAAAAACATACTGATTGATTCACATTCTTCTGAATGTACAACATATTAGTATAATATTTTGTGACTGTGCCATGTAATATAGCACGACTTGTTTTTCACAGTTGCAAATATTATTGTATATACAAAAATATAGCACATTCTCTCTGGAGAAAACAATGGAAAGAAGTAATTTGCTACTTTACAAATTTTGCAAGGGCTATTCACAAAAAACTCTGCTTTAGGAGTGTCTTGTGTTGCTGTAGCTTATGCAATATGTGGGTCACCACGTTCTTCTGCCTCATAGTTTGAGCTCTATTAGCTGAGTTCTAACAAGCATATCAGTTAAAATGGCACATGGGGGGAGGGGGAACCAAACACCAACCCCAAAACAAAAACATCTCACTGCAAAACAGTAGAGGATCCCAAACCCTCTAGTAACAGTGCCAAAATTGTTTAATCGGTTGCATATGCGTGTTAAAAAACAAAACAAAACAATCTTTATTACTGTAGTATTCCCAATTAATGATGCTATGTTGGTTTTTCAAAGTTCCTGGGTGGGACGGTGGGAACTTTGCAGCAAACTGTGTTTGAGTTTTTACAACGACATCCGGGCCTATTAACACGGTCATAACACCCCTGGCACAATTTAAGGCAACCCTTGGCTGGAAGGTAACACCATAAGCAAGGCAGAAAGAGGGACATGACGCCCATGGCCGACCACCGTGTACAACAGTGAGACTGGCTGCAGGAGCATGGGTTGTCGGCACAGTTGTCCTCGTCATCATTAGAACAGTGATAGAAGAGGCCTTTCACGCAGCACACACAAGTCCCATAGTCAATGACATTCTGGGCCGAGCAAAGGCACTGCTTGTCACAGATCCAGTCCGAAGGCAGAGGCCTCGGATAGGTGCACTCTTTACACTTGCACTTGCCACAGTCCTCACATCGGTAGGCATGCAAACCCAGATCGTCCTTGCTCAGGGGCTTAAGCTCGCCTGGCTTGAGCTCAGATTTTGGCTGCACCCGGATTATTCCATCAGCAATGGGTCCCGAGGAAAAAGACGATCCTAACAGTCTCTGTTCAGAGGAGTTGCTGCTGGTACTTGTCCTCGTACTGCTCCTCGACCCTGAGCTGACTGTGCTGATGGACCTGGTCAGGGGGGCTCTGGCGGAGGAGTGGACCTGTGGGTGTTGTAGCCTGGCTGGCTGGCGGTGCTCGGGAAGCCCATGGAGTCGCTCGGGCTTGTGCTGACTGGAGGGGCGAGGTGCAGGCTTGAGCCCGGGTCTTGGGACCACGGTAGGCCCCTCGGTGTACTCATTTGTGTTTCGGATGGCTCTGATCTGATCCAGAGACAGTACATGCACCTGCTGGGTGAGGGCCTCTCTAGGGTCAGGCTCCCCACGCTGCCTGCTACTGTCACGGGGTGCCTGCAGAAAGGGTTGTGACCCGCTGCCACTGTGAGCTCTGGCCTCCATCAGGTCTGGGAAGTGTGGTCACTCCAGCAGGCTTAGAACACATCTGAACTCCTGAGGAAGAAAAACAAGAGCAAAGAGAAGGGCTTACTCTCCAAGATATTGTCTCTCTCCACCCACCTGGCTTGGCGATTCACTTTCCCCTTTCCCTGCAGACACAAAAATTGAACACAGAATGGTGTGTGGAAGTAACAGAACAGCAACTGAGCCATGCATCAGGTCACAATTATTGCTGAGACCCAACAATTCTTTAAGTTCAATCTCACATAACCATGACTAAACCCATTGCCACTGACTTGATTGTGATTCACAGGTTTCCAAAATTGTCAAACTTTGTAGATGTGTTCCCTTTTTTACTGTCATATATTGGCTGCGGTTGGTGGGGTCGAACTCTGACCTCTTCATTAGCAGCCATGTACTTTTAACCACTGTGCTACCAGGACTCCACACACATACTCACTCCTGATTCAAATAAAACACAGCCTGTGAGGTTCAGTTTCAGTAAAAACTGCAAAGAATAATGACTTTTCCAAACGATGCCACCATAATTTTCAAAAGCTGAGTACCTTTTCAATCTACGAGATGGACTTAAATTGGTCACAGTCATCACTGTCTTGTTTTGTAGTGTTCAGTCAGAAGCCAGTCATAGCTGACCCTCCAGCAGGTTTTCAGAGGCAGTAAATCCCAAGGGAGGAGGCTGCCCAGGTCAGCTGGCAGCCTAACTCCTAACCACCAAATCCACCAAAGCCCCCGATATTTGTCTCAAGCATCAATAAACATGGTCTTGAAAATTCCTTCATAGCTGTTTTTTTTCAATCAATACTTTGATTTCCACATTACCCAAGAAATAGTTAAGCCTCATAAGGTAGCATATGACACACATAAAAACAAGTATTTTTCCCCAAGGATTAAGTACAAATTTTACAAGTACACCATTATCTGTTAACTACTTAGCAACTTAAAGATAAAGAATTTTAAAAAATCAAAACAAAAAGCAGATCAAACAAAACACCATTAGGTTCTGGGAACACACAAAACTTAACTTACATAATAATCAATACAAGAATCTGAGACTATTTTACAATATAATATCCTATGAAAATCTCTTAGTGTCTGAGATTAACTGGTTGTTTCTCTTACATTTTATACAACAGATGAATTTACTCAAAAAAGTAAACGGATTGAGTCCCCCTTTCCCAAAAGACGTCAAAACATAAATCCACCGACATTAATGGGGTTGGGGAAGGTTTAAAAAATCTAAGTGTCATAGCTCAGATTCTAGATTCTGGCAAGTAATGCCTTTAAAATGCAATCCAGTAAGTTTCCCAACTATCGTTCCTCCCAAGTTTACATAAAAATGAAAAAGGACAAAAGTGGAACCTTATCCACCCTAAGCTTTTTAGAAAACCGAGAGCCCTCAGTGAGCTGGGCAGATGACACACGCCTCCCAATTCAGAATTAAGGGAGGGCTGGAAACCGGATCCTCCTCACCTCCAGCAGAAAGACAGACAACGTAGCTCTATGCTTTTTACTCCGTTTATCGACTCAATCTGCGCCCCACCTTCGTCCCCAGCAGATGGGACTCAGCCTGAACCCAGCGGGAGTTTTCTCCCCAATCACTTAACCTGCTCCAGGGCCTGGCGCCCCCTCTTCTCTCCAGCGCACGACTCTGAGAGCAACAGCAGAGCGGGGGGCACAGAAGCCTCCAAAAGAGACGAGTCACAGGCGCACACTTGCCCCGCCCGTCCCCATTTCCCCCAACTCAAAACTGCCAACCAGCCCCAAGGGGGAGCCAGTATACTCCCGGGCTGGGGCCACACAACCCAACACAGGGCGTTTCTCCAAGGGCCCTCGAGCATCGGACATGAATTTCCAGCGCAGAGGCGAGAGGAAGAAAGCTCTATCTCGTAACAGCACTGAGACGTGACCTGGCACAAACCGCGACTTAACAGAACGCTGTCTGAAGTCTATACATGTTTATCTGCTTTTGAGTCTGGGGAAACTAAAAAAAAAAAAAGTAAAAATTGTTTTTAAGAGGCGACACTTTGCAAAGCGCCACAGAACACTCCGGGCGTGCAAGACTTAGCTTCCTGAACTAGAAACTTTCAGTGTAGATTTGCTTGGAGTGGAAATTAGCATCTCAAAACAAAACTACTTTATTCTTCTAAAAGGATTTCCCTGGATCCTTGGCTGCCTTCTTCCTTGTCCCATCCTTGCCATTCTGCGCTCCCCCCACCCCCAAGCGCTTTGAAACCTCCACCAGGAACAGCGTGTGATCAGACTGTGGATTAAGGGGGGCAGGATTTCAGCACCAGGGTGGGGCAAACTCAAAGAGAAAAGGTAAAAACAAGGGTCCGAATTTTTATTTTCTAAAACCCAAAACAAAATAGATCAACCCATCGAAAGAAATAACGTCTTTTGCTACCTACTTTCAGATAATGGAAAATGAATGCTAACCACCTGATGACTTTCTTCCTGCGCTGGGTCAACCCAAGTTTCTAAAAATAAAAAAGTGTGACCCAGGCCGACCACAGTGAACGGAAAGAAGAGAAAGCTACACTTGGGGACCGCAGAGTTACAGAGCCTGGCGGAGAGGCGCTCCCAAGCTGCACTGGGCTGCCTGCGTCCACGCCTGGCAAAGGCCAGCGCGCCCTCCCACCCACACACCTTCGGCCCCTCGGCGACCCCGCCAGCCGTCCGACTTGCCTAGAACTTGCCGTCCTAAGAATGGAAGAACTGGTTAGAAATTCCTAACTGCTGCAAACCACAAAATTGTTCTCCCGTTCTCCGCGCTCCGCTCAATGTGCGGAGCATGCCCGGCCAGAGCGGACTCCCTGCAAACGGTCTGCCTTCCCAACCCCCCAGAGCGCGAGCGCGCGTGGTCGCCAGGGCAGGGAGAACGCGGGGACACGGTGCTGTGGTACCGGGCAGCCTCTGCCTCGCCAGGCCGAGCTCGAGCTCCTGGGGAACCTGCGGGTTTACAGAAGGGGAGGCCCTAGGAGGAACGGACCCCACTCCCAGTCCAGCTGCACCATGTTGCCCACGACACGCCGGCCACCGCGCCAGAAGTGGAAGAGTCAAACGCGCCTCACCGTGATCGCGGCTTTGCACCAACTCCTCTCCCTTAGATTATCTTCTGAGATGTGCAAATAAATCCAACCTCGACACAAACTTTCCTTCTTTCCCAACTCTGTTGCAGTCCAACTTCTGAGCGACCGGTGGATAAAAGGCAAAGAAAATCCGGAGTCCAGCTTCCAGCCAACGAACACTCCGGAGACTACTAGGACTGGAGGCAACCCCCCCTTCCAAAAGCGCACGCGGAGTATTTCCTCTTTTTCTCAATGAACAGGAGGCCGAAGCGCCAACGGCGAGTCCTTTTTCCTGGTAGAGGAACGAATGAGACGAGAAATGGCCCTACAGGGAACCTAAAGACTCATCTCCAAGTCGTGCGGTCTCAGC